CACACACACACACACACACACACACACACACACACACACACACACCATAGTTCTTGGATTCCTGTGGAAGTACCCAGGTGGTCCAAGACAGGCCTGTCCAAATCCATCCAGGCCCAAAGAGGCTCTTACCCAAGTCCTGCCTCCCAGGTCCAGACAGCACTTCGGGCTCTGTTTCTGGTTTTTATTACATGATTGTAAGATGCTTGTTAAGTAACTAAGAGATAGTGAGTTGGGGTTTTATGGCTTGATGCTACATCTGCCTCTTCTTCCAACCACCAGCGTGCCAACCATCCCCCACCAAGTGTCTTCATCTCAGGGGAGTTCTCAGAATAGTGGGGTCTTCCTCATCTTCCCACCCCCAAGCCTTTGATCTGTGCCCCAAGCCAAATTGATGGCTTCACCTGGCACTCTGCTGCTCGCCTGGAGCAAGTTAGCAGAGGTGTCCACTCTTGGAAAGAAGGGCAGATGCCACATTCCAGAGCCCACTCGTTCTGTGAGCAGCTCAAACTTCTTCATTTTGATATTTTTGTTCACAAGTTACAAAAAAAAAAAAAAAAAAAAAAAAAGCCTGTTGTCAGGATAACTTGATGTCGGAAGGCTTTGTTATTTATATCTTGTCATGGTGCTGAGAATCAAATCCAGAATCTCACAAGTTCTAGGCTACTACTGAGTCACATATCCAGCCACAAAAGATGCTTTTTATACGTACTTTTAGTTGGTGTTTCCATACCTGAGTCAGCTAAAATGTTTCCTTTAAGCCAGGGATCCCTTTGACAATTGCTTAGGTCTCATAATTGGTGTGTCAGGTCCCTGACCTCAATGCTTTGCCAAGACTTGAGGCTGACATTGGAGGTGGTTGTGGGGTCAAGGCTTCTAGAGCCCTGAGATGGGTAGGTGGCCTCTTCCCCTGCCTCCTCCCTGCCTTCAGGGAGGACTTCAGGGCAAGCGCTTGTGGTAAGCTCAAGAACTCTCCTGCTGGAGGCTGGAGAAATAGCTCAGAGGTTAAGAGGCTCCAGAGTTCCTGAGTTCGATTCCCCACAACCACATGATGGTTCACAACCATGTGATGGTTCACACAACCATCTAAATGAGATCTGGTGCCCTCTACTGGTGTGTATATACGTAATAAAGAAGAAATCTTTAAAAAAAAAAAAAAAAGCTGTACTGCCAAGCCTCAGCCCTGTGCACAGCAGCCTACCTGCATGCCAACATTAGGTTACAGAGAAGCCAGAATTGCCATGTGGTCACACAGCAAGGATGAGAGGGTAACACTGCCAGAAGAGAGCTCACAGGGCAGATCACATTTACTAGACTCCAACTAGGTTAGCACGGACTATGTTATCCATTTCTTTCTGTCTTGAGACAGGGTCTCACTACATAGCTCTGGCTCTCTTGAAACTTGCCACATATACTATGCTAGCCTTGAACTCAGATTCATCTACCTCCGCCTCCCAAGTGCTGGGATTAAAGGCATGTGTCTCCACACCAGACTTGATCTTAAAACTTTTGATTCTCCTGTCTTCCACATACTGTGGTTACAGGGCTGTACACAGTGTATTGGTTTGATCGGTTACAGGTAGGGGCCTCTGTTGGTTAGGGCATCCAAGGCATCCCTCATGCAAGGAGGGACTATGGATGTGGCCTGTCCAGATAGGTAAGCCATCACTGTGCTGGGCTCCCAATATTGTATTTTGCTAAAAACAAAACAGGCCCAGTGTGTGGAAAGAGTTCAAGGTATACAAACTACTCATAGAATGCAGTTGTGTCTCCCTTTTTGTTCTTTAGATCCCTGTAGCCCCTACTGAGTCTGTCACACGTAGACATATGGCCATGCAGTTTTGTTCCTTTAGGGGTGTGACATGTGCTGCATGTCCCAACAGCTGCTTGTCGCAGCACTGCCTACTATGCTGCAGTCACAGCAGTTTCTGCCTGCCCTTTGTGTTTGGAGCAGAGCCTGTGTCCTTCTCTGGGACCCAAGTAACAGCTTCCGTACCTGCTCGCTCAGGGTGTGCCTTGGTGTTTTCATTGCTGTGAAGAGACACTATGACCATGGCAACTCTTATAACATCAGACGTTTAATTGAAGGGGCTCACTTATGGTTTCAGGGGTTCAGTCCAGTATGATCATGAAAGGAAGCATGGATGGCAGTGTGCAGGCAGATGTGCTAGAGCTGAGTGTGCTACATCTTGTAGGCAACAGGAAGTCAACTGACTGTCACACTGAGGGAAGCTTGAGAAAAGAGACTTCAAAGCCTGCCCCCACAGTGACACATCCTCCAAGCTCACACCTCCTAATAATGCCGCTACCTTTGGGGGCCATTTTCTTTCAAACCTCCACAGTGATTTTCTGTTTATTTGGTTGGTTGGCTTTTTTCAAGACAAGGTTTCTCTGTAGCTTTGGAGCCTGTCCTGGAACTAGCTCTTGTAGACCATGGCCTAAAAGTCACCCGCCTGCCTCTGCCTCCCAAGTGCTGGGATTAAAGGTGTGCGCCTCTGTTTTTCATTATTGCAGATGGTGCTAATGTGTATAATGCAGTAATTATTGTAAGAGGGGTTTGTGTAAAACACTCCTGAAGACAAAACTGCAGATCTGAAGTGTTTTCTTGTCCCAGCCGTAGTTGTGTGACTGCCACACCAGAGCTCCTGTAACCTTTGCCTGACTGGCCCCCTGTCCTGGGTTTGATTCCAGACAGGCTGATGGTCGCAAAGTCCTGCGGTCAAGCATCCGTGAGTTCCTGTGCAGTGAAGCCATGTTTCACCTGGGGATCCCCACCACGAGGGCCGGGGCCTGCGTCACATCTGAGTCCACAGTGATTCGCGACGTGTTCTATGATGGTAATCCAAAATATGAAAAGTGCACGGTTGTGTTGCGTATAGCTCCCACTTTTATAAGGTAATGCCGGGGTCCATTAGGCCTGTCTACGTGCACTTGCTCATAGATCATAGAAGATCCATGCTTCTGCAGCCAGAATGTTGAACCCAGCTCGTGAATAAGCAACAGCACCTGGCTGTGGTCAGGATTTAACCCCAGATGCCTCTTGATGCCCCTTGACCAAGAACTACATAGAATTTCCACAAGAAAATAGCCTCATTTAATGTCACCATAAGCAGACTCCTATAGCTTTTTGTCCTAGTCATCCAGTAACTTCATTAACCTAGTCCTATCTAGCAGGCTCCTTTGTACCTTAGCTTGGAGCTATCTGAATAAGGAACTTCCAGGAGGTGGCTCATGTGTTCTTACGGCTCTCCATCCTGTCATGCCCAGACTAGTTGGCAATTTGTTACTCGCCACCCACCCCACACACTGTTGGTCTCTGGGAGGATGGAAAGAGGCCAGAGATGATAACCGCTTTACTCTAGATGTCCTTCACCCTAACTTGGTTGATATTTGAGTAGAAGCCTTCCTGTGCCGTACACAATGCTGGTAGCATCACTGGCCTCTGCCCACCAATTACCAGTAGCAACACAGTTACAATAAAAAAAATCAGCCGGGCATGGTGGTACACACCTTTAATCCCAGCACTCAAGAGTCAGAGGCAGGCAGATCTCTGATTTTGAGGCCAGCCTGGTCTACAGAGCGAGTTCCAGAACAGCCAGGGCTACACAGAGAAACCCTATCTCTGGTTAACAAAAGTCTTTGTACATGACTAGTATCCCTGTGGGACAGCCACCCTGCTGTAACTGCACTTCATGCATTCTCTCTGGTGGAGCCTGCTGATCTTCACAGTATTTGGGGTATGCAAAAAACCCTGTGTGGAGTTGGAGTTGCCAAACTAGGCAGCCATGGTGGTTTCTGGGCCTGATGGGCCTCCCGGGATCTGTGAACTAGAGGTTACTTGTCATGTCTGTTACTCAGAGATCTGGCTAGGCTCTGGCTGGGTGTTGCTTTGTCTATTCAGCATGTTCTTTCCATTGTAGGGCTACAAGGCCTTGTAGCCATGCTGGTGTTTCTTTTTCTCACAAAGGGATGGGATCTGTCTGACATATTGAACACTGGGGTTTTTCCTGCAGATTTGGCTCCTTTGAAATTTTTAAGCCCCCAGATGAATACACAGGGCGTGCAGGCCCTAGCGTGGGACGGAATGATATCCGAGTGCAGATGCTCGACTATGTGATCAGCTCTTTCTACCCTGAAATCCAGGCTGCCCATACCAGCGACAGTGACAACATACAGAGGAACGCTGCCTTTTTCAGAGAGGTAGGCAGGTTTCCCACTGGGCCTCCCCATTGACCATGGGTTGAGTTCTACTTGTTGGCCAATGTGGTCACTGTGGCCAGAGACAGAGGCCTTTACCTGGTATCCCTGTCCTTTTCTGCTCCTTGCTGCTGCTCTCAGGTCCCATCATCTCCCTCAGCCTCATGAACCAGGGCTTTTGTTATTTTGAGACAGTTTTACCAAGTAGCATTGACTAGTCTGGAACTTGCTGTAAACCAGCCTCTGCCTCCTAAGTGTTGGGATTAAAGGCATGTGTCACCATACACTATACACCAGGGCGTTTTGATGGTTTGACAAGACACCTGGTACTGAGTACACCTACAAGAACCAAGAGGCCCAGCTAGTCTTGGAAGGAAGGACACAGGGACAGAAGCACTGTTGAGTGCTGGATACCTGCTGCATGGGTTGGTGGCCTCAACTTGGGGAGAAGAGATGTGGACACCCCTGCCCCCCAGCAAAGACCAGGCATAGTTCTGTTTCTGTGTGGCTTGGGCTAGACTAATACAAGTTATTACTGCTGATCGGCAGAATACTCCAAACATGAGTCCGTGGGGCTTTGTCCCACACCATGTCACTCCTATTTCCCACCTCTGGCACAGTTGCTGGAGATGTGGTGTGGCAGAGCCACAAAGCACCAGGAGGAGCTATGAGGCTCAGCTTTATGCTCTCACACAGAAACAGGGGTGATCTGGTGAACTTACACTGTCCCTTTAAGCTCCTGTCTTTATGTCCTGAAACTAGAAGGCCAGTACTCCCTGGTTCCCAAGAACTCCTGTGCTTTTCACACAGGTGAGGCACAAAAGGCCAGTTGCTTGGGCAGTAGGGGCTGTAGTGTATTCCTGCGCTTGGGCTCCTTTTCTCCAGGCCACACTGGAACCCTCTGGTTGGGTCACTGGTGGGCTGCTGGGGACATGGCTGTATAGTACCCGGTGTGGGCATGGGATAGGAATGTCTAGGAAATGACAAGTGTGGTGTTTTCCTGGGCCTCAGTCTGGGATGCTGATTTTTATGCTTTATCCAGAATTGGTAGCAGATAAAAGAGGTGGTATATAAATCAACTCACCCCAAACATACTTCTGAAACACTGAGTGGTGAAGGGAGTATTTATAGTGGGCCCTAGACTGAGATCTGCTTAGAGAAAATCCACTGGCATCCAGGAGGTGCGCTGGGTGTTCTGGCATGAGTAAGGGCAGATGGGCTTCAAGGGACCAGGGAGGGAGCAACCAAAGCCTGTCCTGCTCCAGGTGACACGAAGAACAGCACGGATGGTGGCCGAATGGCAGTGTGTTGGCTTTTGCCATGGTGTACTCAACACTGACAACATGAGCATCGTGGGGCTCACTATTGACTATGGACCCTTTGGCTTCCTGGACAGGTAATGCCCTTAGGGTTACAGGTGATGGACCTTTTGCCTGTTGGTCACAGCATAGGGGTCATGGGTATGGGAAAGGAGCAGGGAACAGTAAGACCTACATGCTGCTCATGTGCCTTTTTTCAATGTTTCATTCCCAGCAGTGTCTGGTCAGCCATTCCTACAAGCCAGAAATCAAGGGGTTTTTTGGAACTCACTGTGTAATTCAGGCTGGTCTTGAACTTGTGATCCTCCTGTTTTAGGCTCCTGAATGATAGGATTATAGGAGTGTGCCATCATACTTGGCCTCCCTGGTGTTTTGAACAAAAAAGGATGATGTCTTAGCATATTAGAACAAGTCCCTCCACTGCCAGGGTGTAAGTGGGTCAAAGGAGTGAGGATGCGGGGGAGGGGGCAGAGCAGAGACAGATGTTAAGGATGGAGGTGCTATATATCCGGTAGCTTAAGTCTGTATGGGTCTCAAGGAGCTTCCCCCTGGCCTTGAGGCTGAACTGGTTGTGTTTAGGTAGAATAAAGTACGGCTATTCTAGAGTTCTTGGCATGGGCTCACAGGACCTGACAGAGCAAGAATGGTATCACATTAGCATAGTCATCAGTCTTCCCCAGGAGCCTGCCCTCCTGTGTCTCCCCTGATAGCACTTCTTTGTGTGGCAGATATGACCCTGACCATGTATGCAATGCCTCTGACAATGCTGGGCGCTACACATATAGCAAGCAGCCTCAGGTGTGCAAGTGGAATCTGCAGAAACTGGCTGAAGCCCTGGAGCCTGAGCTGCCACTTGCTCTGGGTGAGGCCATCCTAGCAGAGGAGTTTGACAGTGAATTCCAAAGGCACTATCTACAGAAGATGCGTAAGAAGCTGGGCCTTATTCGAGTGGAGCAGGAAGAAGATGGGACACTTGTGGCCAAGCTTCTGGAAACCATGCATCTTACTGGTGAGCCACAAAACCATCATTATGGGCAAATACTCAGTCAGTGGCACTGAGGACATTCTCATTTCCCAAACTGGAATTGTCTTCTTTAAATGTTCTCTGTCTACCTCCCCAAACACCACCTTTCTGTTTTCTGTAAATTTGACCACTCTAGGCACCTCAGTAGAATTTGTCTGTGACTGATTCTACTACACAGAAGATACGTAGGTTCTTCCATGTAATAACATGTCTGAATTTAACTCCATTTTTAATGCTGAATATCCAATGTCTATGGTAATGATCCCCTTGAGTCGTTCTTGGTTTTTTGTTTGTTTGTTTGTTTGTTTTGAGACAAGGTTTCTCTGTGGAACAGTCCTGTCTGTCCTGGAACTCACTTTGTAGATCAGGCTGGCCTCAAACTCACTGAGATCCGCCTACCTCTGCCTCCCAAATGCTGGGATTAAAGGCGTGAGCTACCACCACTGTCAGGCCACCCTATTGTTTGTTTGGTTTTTTTTTTAATGTTCATTGATGTTTGCCTGCATGTATGTCTATGTGAGGGTGTCAAAGCCCTGGAACTGGAGTTAAGACAGTTGTGAGCTACTATGTGGGTGCTGGGAATTGAACCCTGGTCCTCTGGGTTGAGAGCAGTGCTCTCAACCTCTGAGCCATCTCTGTAGCCCCACATTGGGTTTGCATATAATGCTACTTTCAAAGTATATGCCCAGCTTGTTTTTGCCTGTGTTAGTGTGACTACCCCGGCTTTTTTATTTTTTAATAAAATAAATGCAATAGGGTCTCTCTATATAACTTTGGTTGTTGTAGAACTTAGCGTGCACTAGGATGGGCTGGAACACAGATCTACCTGCCGCTGGTATTAAAGGCATGTGCCACAACCTCAGCCTCTTTAGATCATGTTTACATATGCAAGCATTTTATAGACAGGCTGAATCACATCTTTTTCTCCATTCTTTCAACCTGCCTCTCCATCGCAGGGATGGTAAATCCATTTACAGTTACAATTAATCCCTGACAAGTTTGTTTGTTTTTGTATGTCTTCTCTTTTGATTCTTTTCTCCATTACTCTGGCAGTATTTTCATCTTCTTTTCAAGATTGATTTATTTATGTGTATAGTATTCTGCCTGCAGGCCAAAAGAGGGCACCAGATCTCATTATAGATAGTTGTGAATCACATGTGAGTGCTGGGAATTGAACTCAGGACCTCTGGAAGAACAGCCATGTTTTCACCTTTTGAGACAGGGTCTCATTGTGTAGGTCCTAGTTGGCCTGGAACTTGCAATGTAGACCAGGCTAGCCTCAAACTCAAGAAATCTGCTTGCCTCTGTCCCCGGAATGCTAAGATTAAAGATGTGTGCCATCACAGTGCCTGGCCTTTTTAAAAACTATTATTCTGTGTGGGAAGGCAAATGTGCCCATGGTCCTACAAGCATGGCAGTCATTTTCAGGAATCCATCTCTCCTACCTGGGTAATGAGCACAGGTTGTCAACCACAGTGGCAGATGGCTCTATCCATTGAGCCATATTATGTTTTGAAACTGTATGCTTGAACTGGGGAGATGACTCGCTCTGCAAGGATGAGAACCCAAGCCCTAACCCCTAGCACCCACATAAAAAGGCAGGTAACCTCAACATTGCAAGGTGGGGGAGGGCGCTTCCAGTTGAGTGTCTTGAATGAAGCAAGGCCTAGAGCAGTAGAGGAAGGCAGCAGAGATCTTGCTCTGGCCTTCTTGTGCATGCATCATATAGAGATTGGGAAGGCTGGTGAGATGGCCCATCACATCCTGAGGACCTGTGTTTGACTCCCAGAACCACAGAAAGATGGGGGAGAACTTATTCTATAAAGATGTCCTCTGACTTCCACACATGTACCACAGCATGTAAGCAAGATAAACTGGATTTTGCTATCTGGCCTAGAACTTGACAACCTCCTATGTACTGTGTGATTATAGGTATGTACTGCTACACCTGACTTCTCATTTTATAAAGTTGTTTTTCAAGACAGGGTTTCTCTGTGTAGCCCTGACTGTCCTGGAACTTGCAGAGATCTGCCTGGAGGCTTGTGCCACCACCACTTGGCTTTATTTTATGTTTTTAAGAAATTATTTTGTCCGCATGCATACTACAGTGTTGTACACAGCAGAGGTAGAAGTACAATTTCTAAGAGTCAATTATAGTTCCATGATTTGGGTCTTGGGGGATCAAACTAGAGCCAGTACATGTGGCAGTAAGCCATATCCATTGTCCACTGAGCAATCTTACCAGCCCTCATTTCCCATTTATTTGTGTATGTTGCTTAGAAGTTGCATGGTTCCAAGTAAAGATGATTGCTGGGTCAGGCTGACTGCTACAGTGTATCAAGTATAGTAAACAGGTATATCAAGGTGCCCTAAGCAGGCACTGTGACTGGGGTTCCCATGCTAGCCTTGGTTTTTGTCAGTGTCAATCCATTTTTCAGGTGACCTACAAAGGACTTGTAACAGATGTCTGGTGGCTGGGCAGGAGTTAAGGAGCCAGCATCTGCCTCCCAGCACCTGAGCAGCTCATTTTTCAGGTGCTGACTTCACAAACACCTTCTATATGCTGAGCTCCTTCCCGACCGAACCATCAGACTCAGCAGAGTTCATAACCAGGCTGACCTCCCAGTGTGCCTCTCTGGAAGAGCTGAGGCTTGCCTTCCGACCCCAGATGGATCCTCGGTGAGCAGACCCTTGGATTTCTTTTCAGAAGGGGAACAGCAGGGAGGCTGGAGACTGCCAGTAAGAATCCTTCACAGGTGCACTAGGAGCCTTGCAGCTGCCCCATTCCTGGGCATGAAATACAATAAGGCTACATTTCTGCAGCATTGAGGACCAGGGCACTAACACAAAGAAACAGAGCACACGTGGACTGGGATGGGGATGCCAAGCAGACTTTGCCTTCCCATACCATCTCTTACAGGGTGTGCACACTGCCCAGAGATGTGGGAAATGGTGGTAGTGGCTTATAGCTTTCAAATAACAACCCAGAGGCTAGTCATGCTAGTCATGCAGATGGGATTTAGTGGAGACTGGAGCAGTAATCATTGAGAAGAAATGGCACTTCCATTTGGTGGAAACACCATGGTCAGATGGTCTCTGACCTCCTCAGCTAACTACAGTACCTGGGTCCAGGGCATTCTGGAAGTTGCCCCAGCACCTGAGTCATATGGCTATCTACAAAGCAGCCAACCTCACAGCAAGACAAAGTCTGTATCCCATGCCACCCCTCCCTGCAGGCAACTCTCTATGATGCTGATGCTTGCACAGTCGAACCCACAGCTCTTTGCACTCATTGGCACTCAAGCAAATGTCACAAAGGAGCTAGAGCGTGTGGAACAACAGTCACGGCTGGAACAGTTGAGCCCCGCTGAATTGCAGAGCAGAAACACAGACCACTGGGAAACCTGGCTACAGAAGTACAGGTAGGCAACTTCCAGGGTCACCTGTCCAGGCTTCTTGGCACAATGGCACAAGGAGGTGGCTGCAGATGGCTCTGAATTGGGGGGAATGGAGAAAGCTGTTCTTGTTGGGAAAACCCAGCTAGGGATATAATTCCAGAGCCCGTCTGGACAAGGAGAAGGAGGGCGTCGGAGACACTGCTGCCTGGCAGGCCGAACGTATGCGCATCATGCATGCCAACAACCCCAAGTACGTCCTAAGGAACTATATTGCACAGAATGCCATTGAAGCTGCTGAAAACGGAGACTTCTCTGAGGCAAGTACACACCTGTGCCTACTATGTCCCTGGGAGGAAGGGCTGCCATTAAATATGCCCCTCCCCTAATTCTTCTCACCTATTCTCTAGGTGCGACGTGTTCTGAAGCTGCTAGAGTCTCCTTACTACAGTGACACAGCAGTCACTGAGGCCACAGGCCCTGAAGCAGTGGCAAGGACCACTGATGAGCAGTGTTCCTATAGCAGCAGACCACCCCTCTGGGCGGCAGAACTCTGTGTAACATGATCCTCATAGAGGCCTCGGTGTCCTCACATGTCTGGAGTCTCCCGAGGCTTCCCCGGCGCTGCTGAGTTGTTGAGACCACTGGGATCTCTACCCTAATGGTCTCTCCATGATGGCAGAGATCTCCAGTCAAAACCTGACCCATCTCTGTCTGATACCACCTTAGCAGTATTGCTCTGACCTAGCACTCAACATGCCCCGCACACTGTGCTTCATGCCAATAGAGGAACTGTTTCATGCTTATAAGTGGTACAAACAGGGCTAAATAAGCCTTGTAGCCTGTTTGCATATCTTGCCACAAAGGGCTGGGCCTGACACCTGTTAAAACTCCCAGGCCCCTAAATAAAGCAGCCTTTTCAGGTCTGTCTGTGTGCTCACTACCCTAGCCCCAGACAGGTCAAATGGAAATGCAGCACCATGATCTTGTCTGTCCTCAGGAGTCCTGGTAGTAGTTGTTGAAGTTGATGCGAAGCAGGAAGTCCTCAAGGTGAGGCTGGTAGCCACGGTTCACAAGGTTAGTCACCACTGGAGAAACATTCAGCTCTCAGACCCCGCCCACCCTATGCCTTGCCACCCCAGCAGCCCAGCCCAACAGGAGGGCTCACCTTTGAAGAGGAAGTGGGAGTAGTACTTGAAGGTGCTGTAGGACTGCTGCATGAGTGGGAAGTTGGGGTGCTCGGCTCCACGAGGGCCAGTAGCCGGGCCCCAGGTCTGAGAGATGAGCTGGCTTCGGAACTTGAGCACCAGGCTGAAGATGCTATGGATGATGTTCATGACTGGTGCTGCCTTCTCTGTCAGTAGGCCCCTAGTAAAGGGTAGAGCTGCTGGTGGTCTGCCCAGTGACTTGGGCACACCCAAATGCAGGTGCCTGTCTCACCTGAAAACAGCCCTATGCAGGTACTCAGCATGGGCCCGCTGGATCTCCTCCAAGTCACCCACTACAGCTAGCCGGGCTCTGAACTCACACCAGCTGACATGCAGGATCTGGTTTGCAATGTAGCCCTGGATGACCTTCACGAAATGCTGCATCTCATGCTTAAACAGCTGCAGCTGGCGGAACTGCACTGAGCCAGCTGTGTGGCTCACTAGGGCTGTTGGAGAACAAACAGGGTGAGCGTCAGCCTGAAGCCACACATGGGATGAACTTAGGCCAGGCCTCACCTGTGCGCTTGAGGTGGAAGCAGATGTCTTTGAGTGTCCACATCATGAGCTTCAACTGCAACAGGAAGGAGAAGATACCACTGTACTTGTTCAGGCAGCTCTCGGTGATAACGATGTTGAGGGGCCAGTCAACCTGTTTAGGAACCCCAACTTAGCACCTGCAGCTGCAGGACAAACCTCCCCTACACACCCATGGCAGGACACTGCTGACCTTGTACCTGAGCTCCAGGCAGCTCAGCACATCAGGGGCATTAGGGGCAAACACCTCAGGCAGGTACTTGAGGGCAAGAGACAGGTTGGTAGCATGTGGGGTGTCCCCATGGAGGCTATACTGCAGTGCCTTGCTCAGGATGCTGTTAAGGACCAATGGGTTGAGCAGCTCCCCAGGTGTCTGTCCAGCCCCTAGCTAAGAAAGTGAAGAGACAATGTTTCAAGGAGTTCCAGGTTTATGTCCTTCCCTCCCTACTTGCCTAGCAACCCAAGTTCTGCCCAAGCAGCACTGTCACCATGTGGGTGGGTCTGAGGCCTGCAGCCACCCACATCCTACCCACAACACCTCTACTGGCCAGTCTGATTCCAACTCCAACCTTTTCAAAGAGCAGGTCACTAAGAGACTGAGCAAACTCTCCGTCTTCCATCAGCAGGAAATGCCGCAGCGCTTCAAAATGTGTCTCGAGGTGCAACTCCACAAAGAAATAGTCAACTGCAGCTTTGTTCACCAAGGTGACACTGGTGGAGGGAAGCTGGAAGTTAGGGCGGCAGGCAGGAAAGGGCAGGTAGTTGCAGTTGGGCAGGTAGCGGCACTCACTGGGCAGCCAGAGGTGCTGTCAGGGAGCGCTTCATAAGAACAGGCAAGGTCAGCAGCTCACTGAGCTGCACCGCACTCTCGTCTACTGCTGACTGAACCTGGGGATCCACAGGGAAAGCAAAGGCCTGGGGAAGCAGGTGGTGTACCAGGTGGGCAACAGGAGGTTCTGCTGTGGGAAACAAAATAGACTTGCTGAAACTTAGGCATGCAGTGGCCTAGAGCACTCCCAGCCCCCACCTGCCCACTGTAGCTGACCCACTCACACATAGACTCATAGTTGTCTGGGTACTGCTCCAGGTGGTAGAGCTTTGTGAGGTCTGCCAAATAGGCTTGCTCCTTGTCCCAGCGTCTGGCCTCAGTCTCTGTGTCTGATAACTCCTCACTAGGGCCTGGGACAGCTGTGTCTTCCTAAAAAGAGGTCAACCTCAAGAACTGCATCCCCACCCAGTACACTCTGCCCTGTCCCCCCACTTTGCCTGTGCTGAAAATGGGCATATAGGAATCACATGTGGTGACATTCCCTACATGGTCCCCTGACCTGTGAGCTTGGAGGCCATGGAGAGAGGTCTTCAGCATCCCTGTTCCTCCCTGGACCTGAAAAGATACAAAAAGGGTAGGAGGGCCAACAGTCCCCAGTACCTGATGAGGGGACAATGAGGCTGGCCCAGAGAACCCCTCTAGAACCCCCAGCAGCAACTCGATCCTAGCTGACAAACAAGGATCTCAGAAGACAGCCTGACACTACTTTCTAGTGTGCCATAGGTCCCACCCTGACCATCAGTGCCCACTCTTACCTGTCTCCTCAGGGATATCATTTCCTAGCGTGCTAGGCTCAGCCACAATAGGGGGCTTGGTTGGGCTGCCTTCTTCTGTGCTGCCAGTGCTAGAACAGGTGGTAGGCTTCGTTTCTCCAGGTAGTTGTGGCCCACATTCCGGAACAGGGCTGTGTGCTTCCACACAAACGCCTGACTGGGACACACGGGCAGGAGAGCACTGATGGGGCTTGAGTAAGTCGGGCTCAGCTTCTGGCAAGGGCTCCTCCAGAATCAAGGGAGGCTGAGTACATTCATGTGGCTGAAGAGCCTCTTCTGACACATTCTCCCCAATCCTGATGCTTGCCTCTGACACATGACCATGGACGTTCCAACGTGGTCGAGAAGGAGCCACATCTGACACATTCTCCCCAACCTTAATGCTGGCATCTGACACATGTCCGTGGATGTTCCAACGTGGCCGAGAAGGAGTCACATCTGATACATTTTCCCCAACCTTGATGCTGGCATCTGACACATGTCCGTGGATGTTCCAACGTGGCCGAGAAGGAGTCATATCCGATACATTCTCCCCAACCTTGATGCTGGCATCTGACACATGTCCGTGGATGTTCCAACGTGGCCGAGAAGGAGTCACATCTGATACATTCTCCCCAACCTTAATGCTTGCTTCTGAAACATGTCCATGGACATTCCACCGTGGCCGAGAAATAGCCACATCTGACACATTCTCCCCAACCCTGATGCTGGCATCTGACACATGACCATGAATGTTCCATCGTGGCCGAGAAGGAATCACATCTGATACATTCTCACCTACCTTGATGCTGGCATCTGACACATGTCCATGGACATTCCACCGTGGCCTACGCGAAGTCACTTCGGACACATTCTCCCCAACTCCAATGCTGGCCTCTGACACATGTTCATGGATGTTCCACTGTGACCGAGGAAAAGCCACGTCTGACATATAGTCCCCCTGCTTGATGCTGGCATCTGACACACATGTGGAAATGCTCCTAAGTTGCTGGCAGGGAGCCATTCCAGAAGCAAGTCTCTCTGTGGGGACAGCACTCCCTGACATATGTTCAAGGAGCTGCCCCACAGGCTGGGAGCTCTCATCCTCAGGAGTGTCCTGCTTGAGTGGATGTGGGCAAGGCAAAGTCTCCTGCGTGTCATGGACACATGAATCGAGTTTTGTGGGCATGTCCCCCAGTAGATGCTGCTTTTCACTCTCCAAACTATTTTGGACATGCTGGAAGGGTCCTGGTAAAGAGGAGGTGGCCAAAGTTGGCCTCAGAACGGTATTGAAATCATACTCTGACTGGGCAGGCTGGAGCCCAGCTGCTGTGAGTGCTGGCCCTGGAGTTATAGGGGGTAGGTCTGAACTGATGGTCTGCAGTGCCACCTCTAAGAAGGGAGAACCAATGTTATCCATAGGCTGTTCAGTCCCAGGGCCCATGGGCAGAAAGTCTGTAATGTTGAGATCAGTAGAGAACGGCCCAGCTCCCTCTGCCTGTCCAGCCCCAGAGTTATCAGCTCCCTCTGCTGCAGACTTGTGGGTTGATGGTGTTGATGCACCCGGTAGACTTAGACAATCCCAACGCTGTTCTGTGGACCCCAGATCACTGCTATGGCCTTCATCTGCATGCTCAGTACCCAGAGATGTGACCTGAAACACAGGACATATTGAATTCCTCCAGTCACTTAACCCTGTCTCCCAGGTGAGCTCAGTGACCAACACCTACTAAGTGCTGAGGGACATAGGACAACCAGGCCAGAGCATCTAACTCAGAGTCCCAGCAGGGCTTCCAAGATCCTGCTAGAGCCTATTACCTGAGAGCACGTGCTTGGGAACACACTTGGCAGCTTCTGGGGCTGGTGAGCCTCCACGTCGCTCAGCATCTCCTGAAATTCAAGCCCACAGAAAAGACACAGTAGCTCTGTAGTGACCAGCAGGCGGGCACACACCACAGCCTGCATACAGTACCCCTCACCCATCACAGATGCCACTGGCCCTGCTGCCCACTCACTCTTCAGGTTTGGCTGGAAGCCTGAGCCTCAGCAAGTACCATCTGTGTCCTTATACAACAGGACGGCATGAGTACATAACTGTGTGCAAGAGCTGGCAGCTGACACCACTGCAATACCTGAATGCGCTTCTGGTCGTCTAGGAGAAAACGAAGCCGTGCGCTTTCCAGCCGATGTCTCTGGATTCTCCACAGAGCCTTCTGTTCTCGACGAGCTGCCTCTGCAGACAACTTGCTATAATGGTCAACCAGCGCCTGCCTGAAGCCACATGCAGAGGACATGGTCACCACCACCACTCTGCACCATCTGGTGGGCATACTCGGGCTAAGATGGCTCTCCAGGTAGGCTCCCTCCCAAGACTTCTGTTCTCCATCTTCCCCACAACAGACTGGGCTCTCAGGGTGGCCTTGTTGCCCACCACACTTATAGGCTCCAATGGACAGATGCCCCCAGGGACTTGGCACTGCTGTTGGACAAATTGCCAGAAGAAAAATGTACATGGCCAGAAATAAGAGAATAAGCAGGTGGCTGGGGATCAGCCTAACGAACCAGGCCACATTTTCTTTACTGCACAGTAGACCTCTTCCCATCTGCATGTTCAAACCCAAGAGAACTGGAGACTGGCAAAAAGAACAAAATCAATGAAAACCCAGGGATTCCAAGCCTCCTACTACTGGGCATTGAGGCACAATGCATCATCTCCAGTTTGGCTGGCACAAGTCAGGAACATGGCCTCTATGTCTGGTTTTCCTCTTATGTGAACAGAGTATCTACCCACATGTGTGTGTATGCACAGAGCACATGCAAGAGGCAAACCCCTCATTTGCCCTGTAAACAGTATCTAAGCTGGAACAGCTGAGCTTAAGGGCACCAAAGACTATGTAGCCAGTCCCTTCTATAAACACCTTCCACTGAAATAATGAGCCAGTTTCCAGGACAGACTAATGACCCAAAGAGGAAACAGACACAAGAACTATGCTAGATTAATGGCCCATTGCTCTGTTGGGCCAGAAACAAGTTTGAATTAAAAAAAATAAATAAATAACATCCAACGGAGAGGACTTTGGACTTCCCATAGGGTAGGGAACCCTGACTGCTCTTTGGCCTGGAGAATTAGGGGGAGGAGGAGTAGGGGAAGGAGAGGGGAGGGAAGTGGGAGGAGGTGGAAATTTTTAATAAAAAAAAAAATTTTAAAAAAGAAAATAATTGATTATTTAAAAAAAAACAGCCCAGCATGGTGGCAAATGCCTTTAATTCCAGCCTCAGCAAGCAGATCTCTGTGAGTTCGAGGCCAGCATGGTCTACAAAGTGAATTTCAGGACAGTCAGGGCTGTTACACAGAGAAACCCTGTCCAAAAACAAACAGCCACAAAAGGTGTAGTGGCATACACCTATAACCACAGCACTAGGAAGGCTGAGACAGAAGGACTAGAAATTTACAGCCAGCTGGCTACACAGCAAGATCCTGGAGACGTGGTTCAATGGTAGCGCTTACTTGTATGCACAAGGCCAAAAGTTAGCTCCACAGCACCACAAAATAAATAATATTAATGAACAGTCAGGACAGCAAATACATAATATGTGTGCTGGGGCTGGACCCCAGAGCATAGCCTAAGGGCTCTAACCCCTTTTCCCAGGAGAACATCCTGATCCAGCAGACTTACTAGTCTTTCTGTCTTGATATAGGCACAGCCGGGCAGTGGTGGCACACACCTTTATCGGAGGCGGGCGGATCTCTGTGAGTTCGAGGCCAACCTGGTCTACAAGACCTAGTTCCAGGACAGGTTCCAAAGCTACAGAGAGACCCTGTCTCAAGAAAAGAAAGAAAGGAAGGAAGGAAGGAAGGAAGGAAAGAAGGAAGGAAGGAAGGAAGAGAAAACAGCCAAATAACAAGTAAGGAATGTTGCTCACTAGTAGACCACTTGCCTAGCAACATTGGGACCTTGGAATTGATCCCTAGCATCAAAAAAACCAAAGACAACGTAAAATAACCATCATTAGTTTGTACTAAATCAGCACTGTGGAACCTGCTGCCACACAGCCCTACCTGGCCTTTCTCTCCAGTTCTTCTTCCAGGGCCTTTAGCCTCTTCTCCCGGTCACGGAGCTCACGAGCATAGCTGAAATCATCATCTAGCTCCTCTTGTTTAGCCGCCAGGCGTCGCTACACAACACAGACAGCCTCATTTACTAAGGCAAAGATTCCAGGAGTCAGAACCACCCAGAACCCAGACCACCCACCTCTTGATCCTTTAGAAACTGTTCCTTCAGCCGCTGAAACTGCTCTCGCTTCCTGGTGTCCACAGCCATCTGTTCTGACATCTGTCGGTCTTGGAGAGAAGGTGAGAGGCATATGCAATTGTGAAGAGCCCAGCAGGAAACCCAGCAGAGTGGAGGAAAGGTCTGGAACTGCACTCACCACTCAGCTCAGTTAGGATCCTAGATGCTGCTTCCCGGGCATGGACAATTAGTTCTTGTTTTGCAATTTCCATACGCAATTCCTAAAAGACAATAAGCAAAACATATTAGTGCCCTGTCCCTTCTCCTAGGACAGAGTGGAAAGAACACTACCCTAGTTCTCCAAAACAACCTGCTGCTGGCCACTGTTAAGAAATGCCCTTCCCAACCTACACAGAATGTTAGCAGGTGATGCCTCACCCAAGGCTGGAAAGACAGGGAGGCCTCCCCTTGCAGCAGCGAATAGGAAGTGACTATGTACCCAGAGATAAGTGAAGGGCTGATGGGGCAGTGCCGCACTGAGTCTGTCTTTGCCTGGTTTCTCCTGCTGCCCATTAGATCGGCACTGGCCAGTCACTAATGTCTTGTCCTAGAGTACACTGGAGAATTGTGGTGCTGCTTCCAGGAGCACACCCATTATTTGTAAAGACTACTGAAGTGGAGGAACTTTAGGCCTTGCTGTGTTCTGAAACACATTGCCCATGATGTGTATGTCTGTGGGAAGACCATCAACCTGCTGAAGCTCTGTTGTCCCCGGGTGAGAGGGTCCTGCTAGCTGGTCGGGGGCTTGTGTCCAGGTGGGCAGTCAGGTCTTTCTAGGGACTGTGTCTGATTTAGATTTAGATTTTCCAAATGGAGCCACCCATGTGGGTAAAACCTGGAATGCAGACAAGGTTACCCAGACTTGGAAACAAAAATAAAAAGGCCAAGGCCCTGTTCTGAATACCTGTCACCAAGCACCCTGGGTGTCCCCACAAAAATATACTACCAGGACAGAGACACCAGAAAGAGCCACTCTGCCTTACATGCCCCATGCCCAGTACTTCTTCTTGCCCCTGAATCTGCCTGGCTGTCCCCTACTACCCATTAGGTACCAGGCGAGAAGTTGTTGAGCCTGGCACTGGCTCACCACTGGGGTGGGAGCTCCATAAGCCCAGAACCCCAGGAAGTGAAGGGAAGCACAGAGAAAGCCAAACTCCCACAGCCAAGTACCTTTTCCTCCTTGCTGATAGAGCTGTGACGGGCGACACTCTCCATTCGCCCAACATAGACGGCACAGTCCTTCTCAATCTCCTTCAACTCCTCAAGAGAGAAAATCACTGAGATGCGAGGGACAGGGACATCAGACCAACAGAGGTAGTGCTGCCAAAGAGGAAGGGCGTCAGTGAGTACATGGCCAAGGCCGGGAACAAAAGCCAATCACTGCTTCACAACTGGGTTTGCGGCAACGTATGTAGATAGCCATTTCCCTGAAAAGTCCACTCCTAAATCTGGGGGCAGCTGAAACCCTTGATGACTCCACAGAGCAAATACCCCAAAATGGAGACACCATGGATGGGGCCATCAGCATCAGCAGAAGTGGAATCAGAAGCCGAGGAGCACTGTGGGATCTCATCTCACACACAGAGGACTGTGGCAGCCAACACACTAGCACCCACCAGTCAGACACAGTTCCTAGACAGACCTGACCGCCCACCTGGACACAAGCCCCCTACCAGCTAGCAGGACCCTCTCACCCGGGGACAACAGAGCTTCAGCAGGTTGATGGTCTTCCCACAGACATACACATCATGGGCGATGTGTTTCAGGAACACAGGAACACAGTCCTCCACCTCTTTGGAAATGAGCACGTAGCCATGGGTCCAGTAAAACTTATCTGGACAGAACATGGACAGAACAGGATGATCTGCAGTTACAACGGCCCTGACCCCAGGCAGAGGACACAGCCTAGCAGCCAGTGGCTACTTACCTCTGAAGCTGAGGTATTCATGGTTAACCTGGATCATGAACTCCCTATAAACATCTCTGAAGACTCCACTGTACACCCAATCATGGATGAACCTGTGGGATAATGGGACATGGCGGGGAGGGCGGAGCTAGTCAGGCGTGGGTGGCAGGTGGGTGTAACAAATAGGCAGGATCATCAGCTGAGTGTGGCCAGTCCACAGAGTGAAATGGGACACTGTCGGTGGATGCTGCCAGCTTTGGGTATGGTATCCTGCCTAGTACACCCATTTATCCAGAGTGCTTCCACATGGACCCCAACACTCAGTGGATCTTGGACAATAGGAAACTCAAATACATACTTGGTCTGAGTGTAGCCTTCCCCCATGCACTGCAGGGAGACCAGGCATGGCCAGTGCAGGGCACCCACCGTGTGTAGGGCTCACAGCTGGTCTTCAGGAGAGACAGCAGCACAGGATAGTGCTCATTACTACAATTATCCAGTGCCTCCTGGTAGAGGTAGGACAGGAGCTTCACGCCCTGCAAACAGGGAGAAGAAGCAGGATGGTGTACAACCACTGCAGCATACAGCACACTGCCTGTCTAGGCAATATGACTAGCAGACCACACACCACAATGGACAAGAAGGCACAACTCAAGGGAAGCATACAAGCTCACATGTAGGAAAAGGAAGGATGACTCACGGTGGGGAACACAGCCCTGGTCTCTCCACTGGTCACCAGGGATACAGTGCCAACACCACAAAGCTCAGCCAAGTACCTAGACACAGAAACTGGATCAGATCAGATGACAGGAGCACAGGGTCCCAAGGACCAGATCAGACCAAGTAAGCTAAATATTCATTTCCCCCTAAGCAACTGGTCTACACAGGCTTTAAAAACTACTTGTACCCACAACAACCAGATCTAAGCACCCTGTTGGACCCCTGCCCAGCACTGTTTCCTGTGCTGTCCTCCCAGATGGCATTAACACATCCACACTGGGTGTCCCCACATCATCCCTACCTTGACTCCCTAACTCCCTCTTATGATAGGTTTCCACCTTGTCTGACGAGGACGAGCACCGACCCCCTCATGAACACTCACCCCCTCTACCCCACTGTAGTCTGTGTTCCATATGACCCCCACTCACAACAGGACCCATTCATAGCGTCCAGATCCCAGGCTCTACTGTCCCAACTCCTGCTGCCTCGAACATGTCCACCTCCCATACTATCTGCCAGCAGACACATTATAATGCACATAGTAACCAGCTGTGCACCGACTGTTCAGACAGTCAAGGACTAATCCCCTGGCCCCCATGCCAGGGAGCAGATCTGGCTCTCCACAACCCTGAAAGCCCCACATCTGCTCCTGAGGGCCATGCGAGGCCACTATGCTGAGGTTCACCTGAGTTGCCGGCCCAGTTTCTTGAAGAGAAAGCCAATGGTGAGGAGACTCAGGGTAGGCGGAGTGGAGAGAACACAGGCCCGGTAATACTGCAAGTATCTCCTAATGCCGCTGGTGAAGGCCTGTGGGCAAGGAGTGGAAGGAGGGCAGCTGGGACACAAAGGCAGTCATGCATTCAGGACTTGAAAGGACACCCCCAAGCTGGAAACAAGGCCCCTGGTGGCCCCATTTTCCAAGCAGTGGGCATTTATGGCTTAAGCCCGGCCAGGAGGAAGATCATGACTAGAAGACATAGGTTAGGAATAGGATCTGGCCGGGCAGTGGTGTTGCACAACTTTAATCCCAGAACTTGGGAGGCAGAGGCAGGAGGATCTCTGTGAGTTCGAGACCAGCCTGGTCTACAAGAGCTAGTTCCAGGACTGGCTCCAAAGCTGCAGAGAAACCCTGTCTCAAAAAAAAAAGAAAAGAAAAGAAAAAAAAGGAATAGGATCTGCCGCAGATGCGGTTTTGCCCCCTTTGCATCGCACTAAGACAGGGTCAGCCTGGAACAAACCCTGTACATCTACCTTGGCCTGTCTTGCCTACATGCCAGGAAAACAGGAACCACAGCCTCACCTCCCACCGCCCACGGATTGTCTTTTCAGACTGATTCTATAGCACCTGCAGCCTCTTAGGGATTCCACTCACTGTTCTGCATGGAAGGTCTTTCCCATGCATCTCCAAACACACCCCTGAAAACTAATGTGGGGTAGTTCCTTTGCCTGCTGATTTTACCCGTGTGGCCCAGCTCCTCCTAGGCTGCATCCTGCCCCCACCACTCCCTGACAAGTGCCCATGTTTTCTGCAAAACACTCTGCTAACCTGCACACCTGTCCTCACCTGCCCTGGCTATCAGGATTCTCTAAGATTCTACCAGCTTGCAAGTTGGTTGCAAGTCTTTCAATAAACAGAAAATCCTGGGTGTCTCAAGAATCAGTTCATTAGAACAGGAAATCCACCTTGCCACACACCATACAAAACACTGGGGCCTGTGTGGAACAGGTGGTTTATACCTGGCTTACATGCCTCTCATAGCACTTGGTCCTTGCCCTCACAGTCCCTAAATGTTCACACCTGCCTCCCTCTACGCCTTTGCCCAAATACAGCTGACACGGGGTTCCAGTGAAGTAAAACAATGTGAAGACACCCAGCTTCTTAAGTTTGGATTGAGGGGTTCTCAACCCATAATTCTGAACTCTTGATTCTTTTGTGAAGGTAGCATGGTTCTCACAAAGGCATACCTGGAACACAAGGCCCCTGCTGCACAAGGAGCCTACTACAGGTTGTAGAGAGAAATGGCTCAGGCGTGTGTAGTAGGTTCCATACTCCGCCACCTCTGAAAGGATGCTGCTGATGCTCTCAGGAGATGCACCTGACACATGGACGCCCAGCTCCACTACAAAGGCTTGAGTTTGCTACAGAGCAGAGAGAAGGAGTTACAGAGGCCAGACATCAAGACCCTATGTGATACCATTTCTTTCCACTCAAAGTTCCCCAAATCCAAGACACACAAACAGAAAGTTCTGAAAACAAAATGCAAGCCACGGAGCTGGAGAGATGGCTCAGGAGTTAAAGAACTTGTATGTACTGTTCTTGCAGAGGACCTGAGTTTGGTTCTCAGCACTCACGCTGGGTAGCTCATAAGGAAATCCAGCACTCTCTTCTGGTCTCCACAGGCACCTGTGCTCACATGTACATACTGACACAGAAACACACAACCCAGGTGTGGTGGTATATACATCTAATCCCAGCACTTCAGAAGTAGAACCAGTTAGATCTCTGTGAACTTCAGGCCAGCATGGTCTACACAGTAAGTTCCAGGATACAGAAAAACCCGGTTTCAACAACAACAACAAAAAAACCCAACAATTGCAACTGTTGTAAGAAAGAATCTGGGTGAGTGATATGGCTCAGCAGATGTACTGGCTAGTTTTTATGTCAAGCTGGCACAAGCTAAAGTCACTTTTGAAGAGGGAACCTCAACTGAGAAAACATCCCCATCTGATTGGCCTGTGGGCAAGCCTGTGGCGCATCTTCTTAATTGATGACTGATGTGGGGGGGCCCAAGTCACTGAGGGCAGTGGCACCCCTGGGCAGGTGGCCTGGATGGTATAAGAAAGTAGGCTGAGGAGGCCATGAGAACAAGCTAGTGAGCAGCACCTTCCATGGCTTCTGCTTCAGTTCCTACCTCCAGGTTCCTGCCCTGACTTCCCTCAGTGATAGACTATGTTACCTGGAAGCCAAATAAACTCTTTCCTCTCCAAGTTGCTTTTGGTAATGGTGTTTCATCACAGCAATAGGAAACCTAATTAAAACAGCAGGTGAAGTGCTGGCCACCAAGACTGACCTACCCGAGCTTTATCACCAGTACTCAAACGGTGAAAGGAAAGATCCAGCTCCTAAAAGCTGTCCTCTGGCCTCACATGTACACATAGCACATGTCTCTGCCCTCTGCCCCCCAACGAAATAAATGTAATTAAAAAAAAAAACAAAAAAAAACCTCTGGGCTGGTACAGCTCAGTGGTAGAGCAGCTGACTAGCATGTGCCAGGCCCTCGGTTCCCTCCCTAGGAACACACACACACTTAAATAAAAATGATTGTATGTCAACAAATTAGATAGCCCAGATCAAACGCAAAATTTCTTAGAAACATAAATTAACAAAACTGACTCCAGAAAATAGAAATCTACCTACCTATAAGAGATTGAACACTGAGTCTGCAGACACAGCCTCCTAATAGGGCACACCAGTAAATTCTGTGTCATATGTGCTTTGATAGTTCAAGAAAAAAAAACAGGGCTGGAGAGGCTCCTGTTAGGAGTTAAAAGCACCAATGGTTTTGCAGAGCACCTGGATTAGGTTCCCAGCACCCACACGGCAGCTCACCACCCCTCCCCCTGTAACTTCAGTTCCAGTGCAATCCTTTTTTTTTGGGGGATGGGGGGGTGGAGGGCTTTGTTTTGGTTTGGTTTTGGTTTATTTGTTTTTTTGAGACAGGATTTCTCTGCGTAGTTTTGGAGCCTGTCCTGGAACTAACTCTGTAGACCAGGTTGGCCTCAGACTCACAGAAATACACCTGTCTCTGTCTCCTGAGTTCTGGGATTAAAGGCGTACTCTCTCCTGTCCTCCATAGGCACTGGGTACACATGCGCATACATACATCCAGGCAGGAAACTCATACACATTAAACACACACACACACACACACACAAATCTTTTTTTGTTTGTTTGTTTTTTGGTTTGGTTTTGTTTTGTTTTGTTTTCAAGATAGGGCTTCTCTGTGGTACCCTGACTGTCCTGGAACTCACTCTGTAAACCAGGCTGACTGCAGACTCACAAGAGATTTGCTTGCCTCTGCCTCCCGAGTGCTGAGATTAAAGGCATATGCTACCACATCTAACTGTAAGTCACCACTCTTAAAAATTCAAACAGAATGCCTGTTTTGTTTTACAGTATTGGGGATTGAACGCAGGGCCTCTCACATGCTAGGCAAGAATTCCAACACTGATTTATATACCAATCTAACTTGTGGCTATCTTTAGTCAGCCCACAGAGCTGGCCCTCCCTGCCACTCATGGCACTGGACCTCAACCTACCCCTGAGCATGCCCAAGAGAGCACAGGTTATTTGATACAAGGTTGAGCCTGGTAGCCATGAGCCCGTCTCACCTGACACAGAGAAAATGTAGCAGAAACAACGCCCAGCAGAACATTCAGTGAGTCTTTCACCAGCTCGCTTTCCTCCACCAGCACAGGCTTGGGGGTCTGTAGTAGACCCCCACTGAGGGCCTGTAGCTCCCCATGGCAGAGCCTGCAGAATCTGTCAAAGGCATCCCTCCCTGCCTCGGTGAGGTAGGGCTCCTCTCGGTGACCAGGAGGGCTGTGAGGAAGACAGAAGAGAAGGGGATGAACAGATGGGGCAGCATGGACCTTAATGCCAGGTCTGCTTTCCCAGGCTGCAATAGAGTTTCTCAGGCAAATGCCCTGAGGTCCCAAAAGCAGCACCCAGTCATGACTCACATAGTGTATTGTTCTTGTGTGTTGTGTATGTATGGCATATGTATGTTTTATTATTTTATTTTGTGTGTGTGTGTGGGTGTTTTGCTTTGCACTTACATCTGTGTACTACATGCATGTCTGGTACATACTGAGGCCAGAAGAGGGTGACAGATCCCCCGGAAACAGAATTACAGATGTTTGTGAACCACCATGTGGGTGCTAGGAATTGAACCCAGGTCCTCTACAAGAACAAATTCTCTTCACTGCTGAGCCAACTCTCCAGCCCCATTATTTTATTAATTTTATGTATGGGTGTTTTGCCTACATGTATGTCTGTATACCACATGCATGCAGTGTCTGCAGAGGCCAGAAGAGGGTGCAGAGCCCCTGGAATTAAAGTGACAGACAGCCAGGATGGTAACCCATGCCTTGAATCCCCGCACTCAAAAGGCAGAGGCAGGAGGAGCATGAGTTCCAGAACAACTAGGGCTACACAGAGAAACCTTGTCTCAAAAAAGCAAGAAAAATTTAAATTAAAGAAAAGTTACAGACAGTTGTGGGTTGGTCCTAGGAATTGAACCCAGGTCTTCTGGAAGAACAGATGCTGTCATTAACTTCTGAGCCATGTCTCCAGCACCCACCCCCAAATTTTTAAAACATAAAAATTAATTGCAGCAATGTCAGACATGGTGGTTCTTGCCTGTAATTCCAGAATTTAGAAGTCTGAGACAGGATGATCAAGAGTTCAGGGCCAATTTCAGCTACATTGTAAGTTAAAGGCCAATGTTGAGCATGTGAGACCCTACATTTTAAAAAGCACTAGTGTAAAAACTTAATTAAAAACAAAATGTTTGCTATAAGATTGTGTCTTTCAGGAATTTCAGAAACTACATCCATAAATTCTTACCAGCACAATGCGACTGCAAAAAAACAATTTACTCAAGACACTAAGGTAGAAAGACTTGAGTTCTTATCTAGCTTAGGTTACATAAAAGGTCCTATCAAAAAGAGAGAGAGAGAGAGAGAGAGAATGCACATGCAAACAAGCAACATAAGCTACTAGCTGGGCTCTGCAACTTTCATATACTACATGCCCTCAGCATTCTACAACACTGTAGACCCTCAGCATTCTACAACACTGTAGACCCTCAGCATTCTACAGCACTGTAGATCTCAGCATTGTACAACACTGTAGACCCTCAGCATTGTACAGCACTGTAGACCCTCAGCATACTGCATACCCTTCTAGCACACTACATGTCTTCCACAGTGCACATTCTGCATGGGGTTTCCTGTTTGTTTTTCAAAAGATGTATTTTACTTTCAGTGTGAGTGTGTGTGTGTGTCTGTGTGTATGTGTGTGAGTGAGAGAGAGAGAGAGAGAGAGAGAGAGAGAGAGAGAGAGAGAAAGTGTGTGTTCAAGGCCACCCTGTGCTATATAGTGAAACTTTGTCCCTCACAAACAAACTGCCCATGGGAAACCTTTTTAAATAATGTTTCTTGATTTCTTTTAAGATTTCTTTTTATTTTATATGCATGAGTGCTTGGCTAAATGTATCTGTGTACCACATGCATGCCTCATACCTTCATAGGCCAGCAAAGGACATCAGATCCCCTTCTGACAGTTGCTACAAACAGTTGTTAGCTGTCATGCAGGTGCTGGGAATCAAATCTGGGTCCATTGAAAGAACAGCCTGTACTCTTAGCCACTAAGCCATTTCTCCAGCCCCACTTCTTGATTTCTATATGAATAACCTCTGGGCATGCCACATAATTCCGGAGCCTGTAAATGATCAAATCGGTATTTCCATTCTGTAGCCTACACACCGGTAGTGTTCTTCATCCTATGACCCTACGTTAAAGTTCCTTAGATGACAGGGACAGAGATGCAAATGTATATATAGTACCAGTTACTTGAGAGGCTGAGGTAAGAAGAATCCTTGAGCTCAGGAATCTAAGGCTAGCCTGAGTAATACAGCAAGACCCTGTCTCAAACATCATGACTTTGGGAATACAGTCCTCCATGCAGGTAACACTGCCTGAGTGCTACTTTGTGCTGGAGCTCTCTGGCCAATCCTGTGCTTCAGAGACCTCCAAAAGGATGAAGTGTGTTCACAATGGATAACAAATGAGCTAAGTGACCGTGTCTCCCAAACAACAACCCAGCTAACAGATGAAATAGCACTAATAATGTTTACAAAGAAAGCAGTGGGCTATAAAGTCAATTTCTCAACATGTAAGGGGTTGGTAGAATTGCTGTGTACAAACAAGACAGGACCAAAACCCTAGTGTGAAGTTACAGGACAGAGAAGTCACTAAAAGGCAAGACACTATCAACACCATAGCAGAGAGCTTGAGGGATCCAAAAGCGCCATTATGATCACATCTAGAGAAGTTCCTCACATAGGAGCAGTGCCCTGCACACAGAAAGGCTTTATTACTCCCCATCATGTGTTCCTCTCAGGGACCCCAAGGGAACCGGAGGCCACATCAGATGGCACACGGCTCCTCCAGCCCTGACTCTTTACTTCACGGCTCCCCTGCTGTTTTCTCAGACTGAGTAGCAAAAAGCATGAACAGGGCTCCATGACAAATGTCTGTGAAGTATATGTCCTCAATTCTCATTCTGAGTGTTTCCAAAGTGTACCAACTCAGACCAGGAAAGGAACTGAAGGAAAAGACCCATGGACCCAGATATATACAGAGTATGTGGCTACAGATTAGCCAATGCTAGCCACCCAGGGAAAGGCTGTTATGGCTGATGCTTCTACCAAAAGAAGGCACCACACCCATAGCTTCTACTCATGTAATAAGTTTCTTGGAGCATCTCCCAGGCACTGACCACACAGCCTGCTAGCTGCCCTAGGACATCTGTCTAGCAGTCCTGCTGGAAAGACAGACTGTGTAAGTATGGTCTGCAGAGTTAACGCCACTGAGGTGGAGGGGTGGGGAGCTCTTTCCCCTCCTCATATCTCACCTCATAGGATTCAGACACCATTGTACACTAGCTTACCTGAAATGTCAGCCCCTTCATCTCAACACCGATGTTTCTACAAACAACTGCCTGGGGTTTCAAAGTAAGCTGTTGACATGGGACAAAAGCACAGTGCATTTAAAGGCAAAGAAAGGGTCACATACCATCCAATGCGCTCCCAGCACCTCCGCTTGCTGGCTTCATATGTGAGCACAGCTTCCCACAGGTCCAAATCCGGGGTCATGCTTGGTTCAGACTGGGAGTCAGGAGTTAAATTGGAAGCTGATTGGAACCCTTCATCTTCCCACTGATCCACAATCTGTGGGACCTGGAGACCACAAGGAAAAGTAGTTCATTATCTCTTTGTGTATGCATTCATCTAAATGTGGCATAACATTCCAGAACTTTATCCTCATCCATTTATTCCCTAGAGGGACAGACCTAGCAAAATATTTTATTTTTTCTCAAGTTACTATGTACTACACAATGTACTCCTCTACAATGGCATCACGGAAAGAATTAAAGTAATCCACTATTGACTGGAGAGTTGGCTCAGAGGTTAAGAGCACTGGCTGCTCTTCCAGAGGTCCTGAGTTCAATTCCCAGCAACCACATGGTGGCTCACAACCATCTGTAATGAAATCTGGTGACCTCTTCTGGCACACAGGCATAATTGCAGACAGAGCACTGTATACATAATAAATAAACAAATATTTTAAAAAAATAATTCACTATCAATTTCTGTCAGGTGTGGTGGTGCATGCCTGTAATTCCTGCACTCCCAAGGCTGAAGCAGGATTATCAGTTTGTAACCAGACTGGCTGAATGGAAAGATTTACCTAAAACAGAAGGTGTTAATTTTTAATTTCACATAATACATGGCCTCATTTTAGGGAAAAGAGCAAAAAGTCATATGGAAGTCCCAGTACTCTGTAGGATGAGGCAAGATGATCTCCATGAGTTTGAGGCCAGCCTGAGCTATCCTGAAACCCTGTCTTTACTCACCCCACCCCCTCAGCACCCAGGCAAAAACAAAACTATACTAAACCTGGAAAAATGTATGTACACTGAGATTTTGCTGTAGCATCATTTAAACTTGAAAACAGCCTACGTATTTCATAATAAAAAAAAATAACTGAGTAGTAATAGATTGTCTTCTTAACAGAATTTACAAAGTAATAAAATACAAGAGACAAGGACAATTTACTCAATGACTGGCAGGAAAAATCCATATTACAACTGGACAAAAAGCATGCACACCAGGCATTTTTAAAATGTGGTTTCTGCAACTGAAGGACAGGATTTATTTCATTTTAATTAATTTAGTTTAAATTACCAGTAGTAGAGAAGAAAAGTGGCTTAACCTGAGGTAAAAGGTGAACAATCCTGTGTTATTTTTTGATGCAGGTATCCCTGTGCAAGGCCATGCCAGCAAGTCCTCTCCAACACCGCTCCCTCATAACAATCCAGTCACCCGATGCTCTGGACACGAGCTTTCCAGCATTACCATGGCATTGCCCAAACCTCTAGGGATACTGAGGGGAAGAAATACTACCTTAATGGCCAGTCCAGAAAAGTCCGCGCTGTCCGGCACAGGGGGCAGATCCAATCTCACATCCATGTCATATGTGCGGCTGTGCACGAGGGCACCAAAGAGTGAGACCCGGGTGTCTCTCTCAAACCTGTCACCACAAGAGTCACCAATAGAGAAGCGCCCAACGGTGGGCAGGCCAGTGCCTGGGGTAGCCTCCATCACCTGAAGGGCTTCCTGGAACATGTTATGACACAAATACTCCTCTCCAGAGATAAGTGACCGGACGTCCATTTCAAACACACTCAGGTCATAGCAATCATAGCCGCCGTAGGGTACGTTTCTGCCTGCGTGCTTGTTGTTAAAGAAGAAATCCCGTTTTCTCCGCAGCACTTGAGGGGGACCACTCCCTGCCAACTGAACCAAGAGGTGCAGCACTGACTCCACCTCCACAAGAGGACAGCCAGGGGTTGCTTCCAACTTCTCCACAAGCTCCTCCAAACGATCGGCCTCTGGCCCCAAGCCGCCCACCCTCAAATCGAAGGACAGCATGAGGACCTTGTTTTTCACGGGGCGCTTCGCCGAGTCAGGCGGCCGCTGATGAGTCTCCTCTTGAAACAGATTGGCGAAAAGAGCATTGTAGGCTACCCTCTTCAGGCTCAGCTTTGCCCTCTTCCTGTCCACGGGGCGCTGACCCGGGTGGGTCTGGGCGGCCGGTAAGAGAGCCTCGCAGAGGTCATCGAACAACTGGGTGATACTGGCCATAGCTCTTCAGCCCCGGACCACCAAGTGCTAAACTTTGCACCCGGGAGGCACTTCACGCTCCCAAAAACCAGAGCGGCCGCCGGTGGGCCAGGGCCGAAGGGCCGACCGCTTGTCGCTTCACACCTGCGAACCAGGCGTCCGCGCCTCAGGTTTTGCAAAGCAAGAGGCCACACGCCGCGTCCTCCCAGCCTTCAGCCGCCACCCGGCGCTCGTCGTCGAGTCTCAAGGACCCTGACGAGTTTGCCGACCGAATGCGCGCGTCCCATGGCCCGCCAGTAAGCCAAAGTCGGCTGAACTGGGACTCCCGCCGCTATGGCGCCATATCCACGCGACCACAGACACCACCAAGAGACGCGCCGGAATTACGTCACCAACATGGTTTCGGGAGGGGCGGGGCTGCAGCCGCGACTTTCGATCCTAGAAGCTAATGTCAGATACTTGGTGAAACAGATTCAGTAATGGAAGCAGGGGTGTGCGCTCTTTAGAACCGATATTTATTGTAATAGAGGTAGGATGCCTGGGCCGCAGATGGGACGTAGGTCTCCGGCCACGGTTCGCTAGGACCTGAGTGTGCTCTTCTCCGAATAGGAATCGTCCGCCATGAGCGATTTCAAGCGATTGGAGAGCACGGACCTGGTGGAGGAGCTGAAAAAGCATAATTGGCTCGCGCGGTGAGGCTGGCTCCACGTAGCTCTAAAGTAGGGCCGCTCCTCCCCATGTGCCTCACCAGCCACCTGCAGCAACTTCCACCGAGGTTCCAGCTGAGCTTTTAAAAGCATAAGGGCCTGAATCTCCTCTGGGGAGGCCATCAAGAAAGGGCCCAGACTGGGAGGTGCTTCTCCATGCAGTACCTGTGCCAGGGTCCTTGCAAACTGGAGTATGGATTCCTGGCCCAGGGATGGGGGTGGGGGGTCAATGAGACAATGGTTTCTCTTCACCTTCCACCCATACAGCTTATATCCACGGTGCCCAGTTTACCTCCTCCACTACAGCTAGAATTCGGCCTCCTGCTGGGCCCCGAAGCACTGAAGCCAAGAGAGCAGCTTGGGCCTTCTGCAGGCCATGGGCAGGCCCCAGTGCCATCAACACCACGTCAGGCTGGAAGCCATAGGCCAGGGGCAGTACCAGACCCAAGATGCAGCTCAGAAACCCCCCAGTCGTCTGTAGGAACAGAGGCAGAGCCTCAGGCTCTGATCTGGACACTGCTACTGGCTCCTGTAACCACCCTCCAAATCTTAGGTACCCTGGATTGTGAGCAGCAACCCCCAGAAAGACTAGGGGACAGAGAGAACCTCTCCAACCACAACACGAGTCCTCACCTGTGGCAGTGGTGTGGAGATGTGGAACATGGACTCCACGGCTGCCTCCTTGCCCCTGATATTCAGCCATAGAACTCTCCTTTCCAGGAGTGAGCACCATGAATATGTATACATGTCCATGAGACTCTTTCCTGAACTTAATAACTGGGATAGATGAGAGCTTGGGTCTCCAGCAGGGAGGGGACATGCGTGACTGCCAACCTGATATGGCTCTGCTTTCCGGGCATCCACTCTCAAACTGCACCTATGGAAGGCCCCCTCCCCATTCTGTACTGCAGTGTCCCCAGTTAAATGCCTGCTACCTGTTCACATACATGCACAACCCGGGAGATATGTAAGCTGAGAACCATACCCATCATCTGCAAGGTCCAGGGGTCGATCCAGCTGTCCCAGGGCCACACAGAGCAGCCTAAGAAATTGACCCAGGATAGGCTGCACTCACACTGTCCAGTATTCAGCGCCTTTCCCATGCCGTTAGTGGGCATTCCCAGGTCCTCAGAGTCCCAAGTCAACCAAGCAAACTACCTCTGAGCTCCATGGGACAGGCATCGCTGAATGATCACTTCTAAAGTTGCTGCTGTGGCAAGGGCGGCTGTGGCAGCTACGCCATTTCTTACCTATGGAGTAAATAATAGTGACTCTAGAGGCTGACACACACACTCCCTATGGAGCACATTCAGGAGGCAAGGTCAACTCCCAAACCCGGTTAGACAAACCCTTTTGTGCTTCGTTTTGGTCCTGTCCAAATGACTGCTACTGACTGACTTTCCCTACACTACAATATCAAATCACTCCACTTCTAGAAGCAAGATGCCTAAAACTACACTTCAAATTGTTTACTTCCTCTTTGCCAAAGAGCATTGCCTGGGCTCTGCACAAGGTAACATGTCAGCCCGCTGTACATGCCACCACGCTGTCTCCAGCAGCTCCCCTGGCAACCTACCTGCCCATTCAGGATTCCACCTAAGAGACACAGAATCTTCCTCAGTGCGGCAAGACTCTCATCCTGGAACAGAGACTTGTGTAGCCTACGATGGGCAAGCCAGAGGGACACATGAAAACCAAATCTGTATCAGTCGCATTGGCGCAGGCATAGACAGCCCCATCCTCAGACTGCTCGCCTCACCTGGCCCAGGCTTCGGTTTCTTCCCTCGAGGCTGACTCTTCCTGAAGGAGAACTCCAGGAGGTAAGGCCAGAGCAGCACCTGGCACAGCCAAGGCGACCACTGTGCAAATCGGGGGTGTAGGACGGAGATAGACTTCATCCTGGAGGGGGCTCAGTGCATCTTCTGCTGCTTCACATGTAGGGCTCTCAGCAAGCAGAGGCAGAGACTTCCCTTCAGGAGAGTGGGTGCTGGGACCCAGAACTGGTGCCACATCTAAATGGTTCAGAGTCACAGTCACTTCCTAAGCCTAAGGTGGAGGAGCTGCCAGCCCAGGTCCAGGTCATACTGACTTTGCTGGAGGCTTGTCCAGTGAGGGACCTGGGCTGTCTGGACACTGTGGATGGACTCCAGGGCGCTATGGGGGAGAAATAGAATTGTAAAGCTGACTCATGCTTCAGCCCCCCCACCTACTCCAGTCTTCAAACCTCTGACATGGCACCATGAGTCCAAGAAGGGGAGGTGTGGGGTCACCAAGCAGTGTCTGCACCATCATGCACACTGATTGTGATAGGGATTCCAGGTAGTATCCACCCTAGGGAGAGTGTTGAAACAGGACAGAGCAGGGATGTCACTAGTGTGAGTGGCTATACCAGGCAGAGCACCTCACCTTGACTGATCCTCCCCTGGCCTTCGAGCCTCCCCACTGCCCCACACTTACCTCTAGCACAGCACAAATCCGGCCACCAGCCAACACCTGCAGCAGCTGTGTGAGGTGGGCAAAGCACTCGGGTGTGGCTCGCATCTGCCCCTGCAGCGCAGCGAATCATGTATGATAGGAGCCTGGACCCAGGACCCTAGGTTACTTCCCAGCCAGGCTGTGCTCTCACCTCAGGGTCACCGATGGCAGAGTCAAATCCTGCTGAGACCAGCACCAGCTCAGGGTCAAACTACAGGCAGAGTCCAGTGGAAAGGAGCAAAAGAGAGCCATAGCCAGGTGAAGGGGAGGCCCCAGTGCTGTCCATTCACATAACATCAGACTTTCTGAGTCAGCTTCCCCGCTCCCCAAGGTTCATTCATACTCTGGTGGAATAGCATACAAAGCTCCTCCTGCCTTCACAGTGGAACTCTAGGTTAGCCTAGGGTTTCCTGTCCTGGGGGGCACCCATCACACAATCACCTCAAAGGCCAACGGGAGCAGCACATGCAGGAAGGCGGCCAAATAGTCAGCATTTCCCATCCCAACCTGCAGCAAGATCGAAGTGGACATCAGAAGACCAGCCCTATGAACAAGGGCTCCAGGGTCTTCACCCCTGGCAACAGAACTCTGGGGAGAATGTTGCAGGATGCCCTGGATGACATTTGCAAACCCAGAGCTGGGGAGCAGGAGAGGTAGGATGGATGGAGCAGAGAGGGGAACTTGGTACCTGATTCCAGGGCAAATTGACGGTGAAGCCTTGGCCCTGCCCTTGCCCAGTCACATGTGCATCAGACTCTTGAAGGAATGGCCAGAAGCGCCCATGCTCATAGCGGTGCCAGGAGAAATAAAGGACACTGTAGACAATTGGCCAGGTCAGAAGTGAGGTCCTTCAGGAGCTCCACAGCTCTCAAATAACCCTGACTCCTAAAACTTGAATTTTATCCCCAAAGTGGTGCATTGTAGGGAAAGACCATGCTCACACCCCAGCTTACCTGGGGTCATCATCGAAGATGTACTGGATGCCCTGGCCATGGTGGATATCCCAGTCAACAATAAGAATCCTAAATTCAGACCATACTGGAGATCACCTTTGTCACCGTCACGCCAGAAGCCCATCCAGGTGTGGAGGGAGCAAGTAGGAATCTTGGCCACCAACTCCACCTCTGCCAGTTTAGCTTGTGCCCCCCAACACTTACATACCTCTGCAGCCCATATTTCTGCTTGGCATGTTTGGCTGCTATCGCCACATTGTTGAACACACAGAATCCATTGGCAGCTTCCTTCTGACTGTGGTGCCCTGGAGGCCTGAGGTGTAAAATTGGGGTACAGGACATGTCGGGGTCATTCTGTCCCCTCACAGGGTCACACAGGCAATTTGAGGGGGGCAGTTCTCACCTCACCAGGGCAAGCCCATTGTGCACAGTTCCTGTCAGCACAGCATCCACCAGCTGCAGTGCAGCCCCCACAGCTAGCCTGGCACAGTGAAAAGTGTTCTGTGGGGGGGGGCCAGAGTGCAATTTAGCCTGCTGCCTGACCTACTTGCCCCAAATTGCAGGTCACCCACTACTGAACAAGACAGGGCCAGGACAATGGCAAGCAAAACACGGCAGGGTATGGTCACAAGCATGAACAAGAAGACATGGCAGATGGGCAAACATGGGTATGAATACGCATAGGCACGTGGACATAAATCTGGATGTGTATGCTGGCTCGCACCGGGTGGAAGTAGACAGCATCAAACTGCTTAGACAGTGCCTGGAGCTCCTCCTTGTCCAAGGTCTGGGTCCTCCGCACCAGGGCTACATATTCTGGACTTCAGGTCAACAGGCGGGCCACCAGTGGGATACAAAGGAAAGGAAGCTGGGATTCCTGGTGGCAACACCTACCCAGCACTCCCCTTATGCCTTTGAGCCCACACCCACGGTAAAACTGAGGGGACACTGGTAGGATCCCCAGCCCAGTCATTGTCTGACCTGTGCACCAGGCCCAACTCTTCCTCTGATGCCTCACAAGCTGTCAAACACAGGCACCTTTGTTGCAGGCCACGCTGCCGCAGGCCATCCAGAGCTGCAGTCAGGCGCTCTGGACACTCAATTTCGCACTCGGGGCTGGAGCAGACAAGGATCTCAGTGTTCAGAGTTTCCTCCCGGCCCCCTACTTCTGTCAAGACACACTTACTCATCCCAGAGCAGCCGGGTGGCTGTCATGTCCTCGTGGTACACAAGTGCTGTACCCATGGCCACACCGTGGTCACTTTGATCCACTCTAGCGTATACACGCCCTCTGCTGGCAGGTGACTGCACTGTCTGGTCTCACCTAAAGGCGCGCACGTAAACAGCCCCTCGCTTGGGACAGAGCCGGGTAGCAGACCGTGGACCTGAGTAAGAACGCACCACTCAAGGGTCAGACCCGGTTGGTAGTCAGAAGCAAACCGCTAGAAACTGAGATAAGCCGGTCCACAGCGTGGCTCCCGACACCTAACTTCCGGCTTCCTCCTTCTCAGACTTGGTCCCGCCCTCAGGCGCGATTAGGGTGGAGTAGACCAGCTGAACTCCCTTCGGTTCCACCAGCATCCCTGGATGTGATCTCGGCTTAGTATTTCGGCAGCGGTACCACCGCCAACAACGTGTGGCACGGAGCCTGCGCCCAGTGTTCCTCCTGAAATGACTGGGAAGACGGGGCTGCTTGTCCTCACGCAATCAGTGCAGCCGCTGCTATGTTCCCTTCTTTCCCCAATATTCTCAAGCCTAAATTCTCCCTGCTTAGACCACAGGGTCAGACATGCCAAGTGTCCGTCACATCCAATTGACCTGCTCCCACAGGTGAAAGGGTGGAAGGAAGGGAGGTGAGCAAGGTGTGTATGCATGCCCGCACAGGAGCTGACCTGAGCTGCATCATGGCCCAGAGTTTCAAAATAGGACTGACAAAAGATCACAGGTGAGAAAGAGGCCACCAGAATGGAAGGATTATGTCGGAGGCCAGGTCAGGAAGGAACCCTGCAGCACAGTACAGGGCCAAGAAGGGCAGAGGGTTCTGAGCATGGAAGGGGGATGAAGCAAGGGGACCATGGACCTGGGGATGAAGGTAAAAGGGCCAGCCAAAGGAACCCACCCTGACCCTGAAATCAGAACCAATGAAAGAAGCCCACCCTGGCTGTGAAATCAGAGCCAGTGAAAGAAATACTTTAGCCTTGAATTCAGAACTAAGTAAATACACCCTGACTCTGAAACCAGTACCAAAGAAACACTCTTTGGCCCTAGAATCGGTCAGTGAAATAAATACGTGTTCATCCTGAAAATAGAGCCAAAAAGTTTTAAAAGGCCAGTGAAAGAAACACAGTTTGGCCTTGAAATCAGCCATCTACCTCTGCACCAGACCAACTAAACTAGCCAATCCCTGAGCAGGGAAAACTAACCAATCCCTCTTCTCCCTGGGAAAACTCCCGCCTAAGAAGCCCTATATAATCTGTGCACCTGTTCAGTTTGCTGCTGCCCTTTTCCACCCTGGCAGAGGCAGCCA